GTCACCCCCCTGTCACTCTCCTGTCCCCCCCTGGGCTCCCCAAGGGCAAACACAACAGAAAGACCCCCAAAACTCCTCAAAATCCCCTTTCCCTCCCATTTTTTCCCAATTCCATCCCATTTTTTCCCCTTTCCATCCCATTTTTCCCCCACTTTTTCCCAATTTTCCTGATGTCTTCTCCAGTCCAACGCATACGGTGGAAAATGCGTCCCCAAATCCTCTTTTCTCACCCAGAAACCTCCAATTTTCCAGCAAACGCAACAAAAACGCCCCCAAAAAAATGGCTAAAAAATCCAAATTTTCCCCATTTTACCCCAGATTTTCCCGTTTTTCCTCCCCAGACCAACGTGTACGGCTCGGCGCAGCGGCGGAAGATGCGTCCCTTCCAGGGCTTCCAGCGCAAGGCCATCGTCATCTGCCCCACGGACCAGGAGCTGCGCGAGCGCACCGTGCGGCGCACCGACGAGGAGGGCAAGGACGTGCCCGACCACGCCGTGCTCGAGATGAAGGGTGGGCTTTGGGGCGAAAAACGGGCATTTCAAGAAAAACGGGGAGAAAGGGGCACAAGTGGGAAAGAAACGGGGAGAAAATGGGAAAAAAAATGGGGCGAAAATGGAAAAAAAAGCGGGGCGGGCGAGTTCCTGGAGGCCGTGCAGTTTGTGGAGCTGCAGCCGCTCCTGGTTTTGGGGATTCTCAGGAGTTTTGGGGATTCTCGGGAGTTTTGGGGATTCTCGGGAGTTTTGGGGATTCTCCGGAGTTTTTGGGATTTTTTGGGGGGGATTTTTGGGGTCGCCAAGTCCCGTATCCCGTTATCCCGTAGCCAACTTCACGCTGCCGGAGGCGGGCGAGTTCCTGGAGGCCGTGCAGTTCGTGGAGCTGCCGCGGGCCGAGGCGGCCGCGCTCGTGCGCCGCTACAACCGCGAGGGTCGCAGCGCCGAGCGGCGCCCGGAGCGCGGCCGCGGCACCGGGAGCTTCCCGGGAACGCGAGCGTTCCGTGGGGCCGGCAACGGCACCGGTGAGAGCCCCGAGACCGGAGGGGAACCGCGGGGTCCGGCTGGGGGGGCTCCCGTGGGGCTCCCGTGGGGTTTCCATAGTGTTCCGCTCCAGGATTCCCACAGGATTCCCATTGGGTTCCCAAAACGTTCCCATGGGATTCCCATGCACTTCCTATAGGATTCCCCATAGGATTCCCGTAGGATTCCCATTGGGTTCCCCCATAGAATTCCCATAGGATTTACCCAGGGTGGTTCCACCCCAAACACGGAGGGAGGGGCGGGGGGGGGGGGGGGGGGGGGCAGAGGGGGGGGGGGG